ATTAGCCTATTGAGCCGCAGTGCCGGCCTGTCATTTACTTTTATAACCAATAAAAAACTGTATGAAATTATGTAGCTAAAATTAATTATCAATTGATTCATCAAGGTGCCTCTCTAATGCATTCATAGAACAGGACAAATAGCGTAAACATAACAACGTTTTCAAAATTTAAATATTATGAACTAATAACTTTTAAAACTTAAGTGAAATGGAGCAATACTGAGAAAAACACTAAAATGCCAAAAGTATGATTTATAGTCTTTAAAGAAATTTAAATGTAAAATATGCCAATAATCACACACACACACACACACACACAACCCAAGGCCCAAATTATTAAGGGTGAGCTTTATCAAAATTTCAAAGGATGATGAATTCATTTCTCATGCAAGCTGTTTTCAGAACACAGGTAAAGTCATTCAGCTCATTTTATGAGGCCAGTGGGACCTGGATTCCAGAAGTAGTTAAAGGAGGAAAGCAAAAAAGAAATTGGACCAATTTCATGCATGACTATAAATACAAAATTTCTAAATAAATTAGCATCAGTGTGATTTGTGTGTGTGTGTACATGCATGCACATGTGCATTGTACCAGGTCAAAGTAGAGTTTAACCCTTTAATATCAAGAAAAAGACGACCATGTTCCAATATCATCACTGCTGTTTTATGTAGTTCTTAAGGTTGAGAGCAGTTGTATCAGACAAAAATAAAGGAGTTATAGGTATAAATAAGAGTAGCTTTCAGAAACAAAATCTGTTTACAGAAATGAATAGCATTGTTCTACGTAATCAACAACCACATACAAAATATGATTTTTAAAATGTTACAATTGCATCAAAAATTTATGATGTTTCTGGGAATAAACCGAGAACACCAACAATAAAATTATACTGAGGAAATTCTAATTTTTAATGCTAATAAATTACATAGAAATAATCTTTATAAATAAAGAGTTATTTTGAGGCCTTAGATGACAAAACCTAATGTCATTATTCCATAATCAATTTATAAATTGATTGAAATACCAATCAAATTATTCTTATAATAGCTATACACTGATTGTAAAAGTTATAGGGAAGAATAAAGCTTAGTTAATCCTGAAAAAGAAGGAAAAATTTTACCAGGTATTTAAATATATAAAAAAATAAAGATACTTAAGATGACAATAAAAATATAGAAAGTTAAACATAGCCACATCATACCTAGATAAATATATGATAGATACATATATGCAATTATGAGGAAGGGGAAAAAAGAGGTTGAGAGGAATGACAAATGGACTTGCATTTTTCAAGGTAGATTATTATATTATCTGTAAAGAATGGGAGGTGTTTTGTTTGTTTTGTTTTGCTTTGGCAGGCAGAGTGGACAGTGAGAGAGAGAGACAGAAAGAAAGGTCTTCCTTTTCCTTTGGTTCACCCCCCAATGGCTGCTGCTGCCGGCTCGCTGCGGCCAGCGCACCACGCTGATCAGATATATGTTACGCAATAAAGATGATACCAGGCCGGCACCGTGGCTCAATAAGCTAATCCTCCGCCTTGCGGCGCCGGCACACCAGGTTCTAGTCCTGGTTGGGGCGCTGGATTCTGTCCCTGTTGCCCCTCTTCCAGGCCAGCTCTCTGCTATGGTCCGGGAGTGCAGAGGATGATGGCCCTAGTGCTTGGGCCCTGCACCCGATGGGAGACCAGGAGAAACACCTGGCTCCTGCCTTCGAATCAGCACGGTGCGCCGGCCGCAGCAACCATTGGAGGGTGAACCAACGGCAAAGGAAGACCTTTCTCTCTGTCTCTCTCACTATCCACTCTGCCTGTAAAAAAAGAAAAAAAAAAAAAGATGATACCACACATGACTGAGGAGAGGAATGTTTACTCAATAGATGGCTTTGAGAAAACTGACTTATTACATAAACAAAAGAATTAATATAGAAACAAAATAATACCACATATGAATGAAAGTAAGCTCTAGATGAATTAGATCAAAATGTGAAAGATATAACACTAAATGCAAACAAAATTGACCAGAATGTAAAATTTACCTTTGAATCTTCAAAACAAAACCACAGGGTCATAAAAAATGATTTTATTATCTCAAAATCAAGAATATCTATTCACAAGGAACATGGATAAGGCTAATAGATACATGATCTTTGGGAAAATTTATCAATTAATGCAGTATTTTAGTTAACAAAGAACTATTACCTAAATATACAAAGAACTCTTGCAAATCAACAACTCAATAACAGGAACCTCCATTTTAAAAAATGAGTAAAAGGGAGTGAACCAGCGGATGTAAAATCTCTGTCTCTGTCTTTCTCTCTCTCTCTCTCTATCTCTCTCTGTGTGTCTCTTTCTCTCCTTCCCTCCCTCCTTCCCTCTGTTTCACTCTGTTTTACAAATAAATAAATCTGCCTTTATAAAACAAAGATGTCAAATTCATTAGTAATCAGAGAAATACAAATTAAAACAACAGTAAGATAATTATTTTGTATCTATTACACTTTCCGAAATTAGAAACCTGGATAATGCCAAGAAATGGTGGGGCTGTGGACATGCAGAAACCTTCATGCACTGCTGTCTGAGGGGAGACAGAAATGCCATTTTGAGAGCAACTGGCCACTAATGACTCAGACTCAGTGTGTGTACACCCAGTGTGGTGATGTACTACTCCTACGCCAGTCTAGAAATTCTGAAGAAATTCTTACAAAGATCCAAAAAATCAAATGAAAAAAGGCTTTTGTCACAATCTTGTGGCATAGGGAGTTAGAGGTCAGGGGAGTTGTGAAGCCATGAGAAGCAATGGCCTAGCTACTTGCAGAGCCTCATAGGTAGATGGTAAAAGCAATGCCCACTGGGAGCCGGCGCTGTGGCTCACTTGGTTAATCCTCCACCTGCGGCGCCAGCATCCCATATGGGCCAGATTCTAGTCCCAGTTGCTCCTCTTCCAGTCCAACTCCCTGCTGTGGCCCAGGAAGGCAGTGGAGGATGACCTAGCTGCTTGGGCCCCTGCACCGGCACATGGGAGACCAGGAGGCTGGTTGCACCAGCCTTAGCGACCATTTTGGGGGTGAACCAATGGAAAAAGGAAGACCTTTCTCTCTGGCTCTCTCTGTCTCACTGTCTAACTCTGCCTGTCAAATAAAAAAAAAAAAAAAAAAAGCAATGCCCACTGAAGAGAGCAAGGGACCAATAGCAATCTGTAACCCTAGACTGTGGTTGTAGATCAAAACTACAAACACAGAGAAAATGAGTAGTACTTTATAAGAGCACATGCAAGCCAAAGGAGAAGCATTAAACACAGTAGCTATTATATATGGTATAGGAGGGAAATAAAAGTGGAAGATGGAGATAAGAGGAAATAAATATGTTTTAAAAACTCAAGTTAGTGAAAAGTTGTTCCCTACATCCCCCACATTGATTGCATCAGACATTGTATTCAGTGATGGCTCTACTTTATTTGGTAAGGTCTATAAGACTTCTTTCAAATAATTGGTATCTAGCTGATCATATTGGTACAATCTTCCTTTAGATAATACATCTGATTCCACAGTTTTGAATTCCTATGGACAGAATTCAGCAATAGCTACTTGAGAAGGAATCTCCTCTTATTTTTTGATCCTTTCATTTATTGCACTGGGGACTGAAAAAAAGTCCTGAATAATTATGCTGACTCTTTTCTTAATTGACTTTTTAAACTGATTTGACAAAATCACTTATGTAAATTGAACAAACCAATATCATCAACATAACAAATATAGAATTTTAAGCAGCATTTCCTCCGCTGTATTTTTTCTTGTCTCATTTCCTAATGTTCTAGACTGAACTGTCATTTTAAGATCGGTAAATTCTGTGTAGTGTTAACATAGATACTTTTAACTGTTTATATTTCTGAATAAGAAACATCCACAATAATGAATGTAAACAAAATAGTAGCCAAAAACTTTGAAAGGAGTGAGTCAGGAGGTTGAAGGGAATAAATTAGTAGTTAAATGTAAGCTCTAGAAAGCTGAAAAATATTGTTCACAATATTTTATCTACTTTAACAATGAAATGCAATTAGGATAAAGTTAATTTGGAAATCATTTATCAGTTAAATGAATTCCAAATTGATCTCAACACCTTAGCAATCAGGGCAATGCAATCAGAGAATGATTTCATTCATATATAACTGACAGCTTAATTTCAAAAACTGTTTTATATGACTATTGTATGGCTGAAATTTAAGGAACTAGATGTACAGTATTTTATTCATGCTATTGAAAACAGTGTCCTCTTTAACTCAGTAAGAAGTTGATGATAAATGAATGCGGTAAAGTAAGAGGCACAGCAAGCCACCCAGTTTTACCACTCACATCCTGAGCTGTAACAGAACTCCCTACCCTGCTGTCAGGACCCCTCTAGGAAGCTTCTGACACCTCCTTAGGAAATAAAACAGACCTTTTGTCAGCCTGCTTATGGAAACTTAATATGGTCATTGACTCCAGGTAATTTACACTTGTTTCCCACTAACTAGCAAACTTCCAGAATGTCTAGTGAACCCCAAGCTACATTAAGAACTGAGCTCATTCCTCATAGAAGGAAGGCATTCCTTTCTAATCATCTTAGAGGTATGCTGGAGGACTTTAGGCAGGAAAATACATGTGCATCCAAGTTTCTTATAAAATTGTTTAATTTCAAACTAATATTTAAAATTAGAAATGAAATTGTTATAAAATGCCATTAAAAGAGATATTTCAGATTATTTTCCTTTTAAACCTAAGTGTGTTTTTGCAACAACTCTGTTTAATAATAAAAGAGAATGTTAAACTGCTTAGAGAAAATTTTCATCTAGATCTGTCATATTAGAAGGATATTTGGCCATTTCTGGATACAGAAACCCTAATACTTACAATCAAGTAAAGGAATGTAAAAAGCATATGTTCCTTATTTATACAGAAAGTTTCAGAGTAAGAAAATAGGAATCTTTGCTACGTTTGGACTGACTCCTTTTCTTCAATCATTTCAGGCCCTGGAAAGTGAATTTGTTTCATGCCAACTGCATCAATGGATCGACCTTATATTTGGCTATAAACAGCGAGGACCAGAAGCAGTGCGTGCTCTGAATGTTTTTCACTACCTGACCTATGAAGGCTCTGTGAACCTGGATAGCATCACGGATCCTGTGCTCAGGGAGGTAGGTGTGAAGTCCAACGTTATTCCAAAACCGTCATCTCTGAAAAGCAGATTGGACTTTCCCTCCCTTTCTGCATGAATTTCCTTTCATCATAACTTTTTATAAAACATAGATTTCGTGGGCCAGCACCATGGCTCACTTGGTTAATCCTCCACCTGCGGCGCTGGAATCCCATATGGGTTCTGGGTTCCAGTCCCGGTTGCTCCTCTTCCAGGCCAGCTCTCTGCTGTGGCCAGGGAGTGCAGTGGAGGATGGCCCAAGTGCATGGGCCCTGCACCCCATGGGAGACCGGGAAGAAGCAGCTGGCTCCTGGCTTTAAATGGGCGCAGCACCGGCCGTAGTGGCCATTTGGGGGGTGAACCAACGGAAGGAAGACCTTTTCTCTCTGACTCTCTCTCATCTATAACTCTATCTGTCAATAAAAAATAAAAATAAATTAATTAATTAATTAATTTAAAAAAACAAAAAAGAAAAACAGATTTCAGGTTCTTGATAAATGTGGAAAATGAAAATATATGTCAAAAACAAGTAATGAGACTAGCATGTTATTCTTTTTATGTAATTGCAGATGTTTTAATGCACTTCCATATCCCTATTTTATTTGTTGCACTTCAGAGTTTTCATTAAAATGTTTAACCTACTGAAATATCCAATATGAATACTTCACAATAAGATAACCTGCTGGTGTAGATTTTACTCGAACAAAGCAAAATGAAATCTTCTAGACAGAAGACTCAAAAAACGTATCAGTGATTTCATAATATTTTACTCCCATAAGTTCTCAACCTGAAATGTTTCTAATTAACACTGGGAATTATCTTATATATACCGTAGTATGTAAGTATTATTAATGAAAATATTTATGGAAATATTATTTAGATCACTCTACATTGCACAGAATGATTTTAGGTACGTAGGAAGGATGAAGCTGCAACAGCAGCTGAATAGTAAGTAATGTTGCAAGGAAGCCCCGTCCCCAGCTCCCCTTTCACCAGATACCTGCCATCTGCTGTATGCAAAACAAGTCATCAGTCCTGCGTTTCTAGGCAGCAGGGTGATAGCTGTTTTTTTTTTTAATTTTTAATCTTAGAGGTAGAAAACTTACAGATTTGGGAAATGAAGCTCTACTAAAAATTTGCATCCATAAAGTTATTTCTTACATACCTCTTAGAAAACCAAAATTACTTCATTTTCTTAGCTCCAAGCAGAGAAGACAAAAGGGAAGGGAAATGTCTCATAATCATTGATCACTGAACCCTTAGGGCTAAATATTCAAATAGCACCATTGCAAGCCTTATTAGGGGCAATATACCATATTGTATGCACAAGGAAATGGAATTATTGCCTGAAGCTAAGAGAAAAAAGATAGAGAATGAATGAATGAGAGAGAAGCTCTCATTATGAAATCAGTAAAATATCCCCATTGTGAGCAAACTATAATCAGGTTATTTGGTAAGAGGTGACTCTAAAGTTATTTTGTGGAGGATGTTGAATATTACAGATGTTTTTATTCATGTATATTATATTAGAGAAAGTTGCTTATCAACACTTTGGGGCCAAATAAAAATATATAATGCATCTTGTATATAATTAAACTGCAAAACATCATGCAATTTGATCAAAAAATCAGGTTTTTTCCTATTTAAATGATGGTTAAAAAAGAGAAATAAATGAAATTATTAAAAAATGAAATTAGAATTAGACTTTATTTACATGGTTATATTATATATTGTGTGAATCATAAAAATACTTCTACAAAACATCACACCATTGCTTTGGAAGAAGCCAGTATGTATAGGCCTTCAGTGTCAAACTGTTGTACCTCCTTGGAAAAACTACATGAAAATGTACAGTTTTAATTTTCTTTTTTGGGTGAAGGTGGTTCAACCATCTGTTTGCTTATTACACAGACAGTTTGAATGTTTATTATATTGCAGCTCCTTTGACTTCATAGTAATGCAGACTGTCTAGTGGTAGGTTGCTGTCTCCCTCCAGCGTGCTCATTTTGAGCACATAGCTGACACTGAGGTTCAGTTAGAGAGACTCTAAGGGCCATGCTTTGAGATGTATGCTTTTCCTCCCCACACCCTTGTCGCCCTTCTCTGACCCCACAACTCTTTGTCAGTTCTTAGGACACAAGATGCAAAGGGGCAGACACCTAGAATACTTCCTTCCTCCAGCTGGCATAGGCCTAAGCATAGTCCAGCAGACACATGTGCCCTGACCGTGTTGACTTGTAACAACTCAACATTTCTTAGGAAAACTCTTCATTTCTTTGAGATCACTGTGAGTCCATTTAGTGCATGGTAGACAGAACAGATTACATGAATTCAAAGAATATGAGTTAATGTCTTCTTTTTCTGCTTCCCATCATTACTCCTCTGTCACATTTCCATTATGTTAATGCCAATTAGCCAATAAAAACCTAATATATTGAAACCAAAAGAAAAGTTCTGCACTATTATTTAAGACCTTGAAGAATAGTGCCTTCCTACTCATGAGAATTCCACCTGAATCCTGTGAACTCACTAAATATAGACAAGTTACTTAATCACAGTTTACTTCAATTGCTCTTTCCACAAAGGAGGGTTAACATGTTTTCCAACAAAAACTGTTTGTGGTCACAAGAAAGAACCCTGTAGACATGTGGAAGAAAGTACAGCATATTCATTATTTCATGTTCATTTGTGCCCCCTCACCTTTATATTAACCTTGAGAATAGACCTCCCCCACCCCCCGGAGGCACAATACCTTCTTTAAAGCATCAAGGTTGAGTTCCTGGAGAGCTGCACTGCCGTTCTGTTCTGTGGCCTGAGGAAGTAGATCACCACATAAATGGTTGAATACAGTCTTGAAAATCAGAGTTCAAAATATTAATCCTTTTTTTCCCAAAGAAACTTTTTACTTAATGGGTACAGATTGCATAAGTACAACTTCAGGAATATAGTGATTCTTCCCACCATACCCTCCTACCCCCACTCCCACCCTACCTCCTCTTCCCTTTCTCATTCCCAGTCCATTTTCCATTAAGATTCATTTTCAATTAACTTTATACACAGAAGACCAATGCTATACTAAGTAAAGATTTCAACAGTTTGCACACACACACACAATATAAAAAACTGAAAACAAGTTTTACAGTTAATTCTCATAGCACAACTCATTGAGGACAGAGGTCCTTCGTGCGGAATAAGTGCACAGTGACTCCTGTTGTTAATTTAACAATTAATACTCTTATATATGATGTCAGTGACCACCCGAGGTTCCTGACATGAACTGCCAAGGCTGTGGAAGCCTTTTGAGTCCACAGTCTCCATCAGTACTTAGACAAGGCCATAAGCAAAGTGGGAGTTCTCTCCATCTTTCTTTGATAGCCCCTTCTTTCCACTGGGGTCTCACTCACAGAGATCCTTCATGTAGGACATTTTTTTTTTTTTTTTTTGCCACAGTGTCTTGATTTCCCATGCCTGAAATGCTCTCATGGGCTTTTCAGCCAGACCAGAATGCCTTTAGGGCTGATTCTTAGGTCAGAGTGCTATTTAGAGCACAAAACATTAATCCTTTTATTGAGCACAACACCTTTCTTTTATTCAACAATGTTTACCTTATTGTTTTTAAAATACAGATTTCCACATAGATAACACTGAAGGAAGTCTAGTTATACTAAATTCCAACTAGCGTAAGGAAGATGGGTTTTTTTTGTCCTTAAATACTGATTTTGAAGGAGAAGTAGTTAACACATGCATATCAACATATTACCCCCTTTGTTAAAAAATATTCTACAATCTACATAACTTTGAGCTTTGCAGTTAGTGCTAAAATTTGAGAAATGGCTTAAGGTTATTGATTCATTCTTTCTTGACAGGTGAAGTCATGAAGCAGCACTAACCACAGCAATTATAGCATTAAAATGTCAAGAAATTAGAGGTCAGAATAACAGATAATTTTCTTCTCCATGTCAGATTAAAAATTGACATTCTTTGACAGCTTAGGATCTCTGGCTGAGAAAATTATGACAGCTTAACTTATTTTATACTTGTAAAGCAGTAATTGATAATAAACTTTATCATGACAGCCTCTGGGCAGAAACATGACAGCACAGTTCTGGTACAAAGCTCTTGGTAATACGTAAACACCAGATCTGCTGGATAGTAGATATTATTTAAATTGTCTTCAATCTTGGCTTACATCATAATCTTCTAGGCACTTTTTCTTCAAGATGAGCTCAATGATTTTGAGTATACTTTTCAAACAAGATAGTGAATTTTCTTTCTCACCCATTTTTACTGATAAAAATTATGGGCTTTGCTTTGTATTTTTACCTGCTAAACTGATGCCCAAGGAATTGTATTTTATGACCTGTTTAGGAAATAGGATATTGTGATTATTGTGGTACTCACGGTTTTCTAACCCCTTGCTACTCAAATGTGGTTCATAACCCAGCAGTACCAGCGTCACCTGGAAACTTGGTGGCACTACCAACACGCAGGCTTCCCTTGTCTCCTATATCAAACTGTGTGCTGACCGAGATCCCCAGGTGGCTTGCTGGATACATTAAAGTTTAAGAAACGCTGCTATACTAAAGATGAGTTAGAATCATTTGGAAAGCTTTGTCTCCCTAAAACAGTAGAGAGAATGGTATAATGAACCCCCACGTACCTATCACCAAAGCTTTTAACTCATTTCTTGACCCTGCCCCTACCCCCTCTACTTATTTTAAACATGCATACCATACTCATGTCACCCCTTATAACTCCTCGTGCATTGTATCATTCCCAGCCTGTGGGAACTTTTTAAAAATTTTATTAATTAATTAATTTTATTTAAAAGGCACAAAGATCTCCTAAATGCTGGCTCACTCCCCAAAAACTCTCAACAGCTGGGGCTGGGTTAGGCTGAAGCCAGGAGCCTCAAACTCAATCCAGGTCTCTCACACGGTTGGCAGGAACCCAAGTATTTAAGCCATCACCAGCTGTCTCCCAGGATGCTCATTAGTGGGA